GGTGCGTTCCAATAAGTCTTCCTACCAATATGACCATGTTGCGAAAACAAGGTCAAACAACCTCTAAATAACTTTTCAAGCTGAGACCCGTTTCTCATGTCCTAATCTTGAGGCCTGATGAACCGGGACCGACTCTTGGCATTTTTGTAATTGTATTAATATTAACGGACACACAGACAGACACACTCGAACATAAGGAAAGTAACCAACCCTTTATATATCCGTTTATACCTGAATATTTTTTCGTTATGATTATATCTGACATGTAGGATAGAGCTGGTTAGTATTTTTGACTTTTAGTATAGTGACTCTTGCAAAAATGAGCTTTATTTGCGCTTTCATTAGAATCGAGAAAGGATGTCGCATGGATTGTGTCTATTGAACTTCGTATTAAAGTCAAAAAGTGAGAATGACCTACGAATCGTTTATTCCACCCTTTCATACGAAATCAAAGTCTCCACAACCAGAATGGAGACCGAGCTTGCCGACAAGACACCGTTGGGTGCCAAAACAAGTGACGCAACAGTAGACAAACATCCAGACAGACCAAATCAGGCGATGTTTAAACCTTCTTTTCTACGAATCCGAGTTAACCTTGGTCATAAAGACTGATTTGTGGGTTTTTCGCACTGAACTCCACAGAACCTCGCTCCAGTCTCCTCAACGAAATTCAGTTTCAATGGGATTTGTAAAGAGGTCGAGAACATCAAGTCTCGGCCTACTTCTAATTTCCGCTGGTGTTGGTCTTTATAGAAGTTAATTTTTTTCCTCCAACTCTACGGCATTACTGTGGGCAAAATGAGTAGGGTTAGGAATTCACTTTAGGCAACCTGGGTCCTTCCAGTCGATTACGAATTCGCCATACTAATTATATATATATATATATATATATATATATATACATCTGTATATGCGCTGTAACTCACTGGCGCCCGTTGGTCTGGCGAAAGAATCTTATGCCTCGCATGGACTAGCTCAGTGGTTCCCAAACTTTTCCTAGTCGCGGCGCACTTTTTCAATTACAATTTTTCCATGGCGTACTACCCTAAGTATGACTATTCGTAAGAGATACAAATAAATAATTCTCATGTATCTTTATTATTTTTTTCACATTATTAACATTTAATTAATATTGAATATAATTAATGTGATGGATAAGCCTGCAAATCACTGCACATTTTCTCAAATTGAAGCTTTTACAATATTTCGCGGCGCACAGTTTGGGAATCACAGAACTAGCTTTAAATACCGTTAAAACAGGACAAAAAGATCTTTTTGAAGGCTGAACTAAGTGAGGCCTACTCATAGCGTTGTGGAAAAGAAATCATGATCGGTGCCTTAATCATTGAAAACTTTCTGGTCAAATTAGTCGCCATTTTTATTCACCGTGATCTGAATCACCAATTTACGGGAAATAGAAGCACCAGACGGTCGAAAAGCCTCCTTAGCCGCTCTAGACCGTTTCTGAATGCATTTTTTGTCTTTATTTTACTTTTCTGAAGATCGTCCATTTGGATGATATTTTCGAGGAGAACAAGGATCAAGATAAATGGGGCTATTTTGAATGCTGCTACCTGCTGTTGGTAACAATATCTACTGTGGGCTACGGCGACTTGGCACCGAAGACAAACTTGGGCCGTTTCTTCATTTGTATTTTTATTCCTGCAGCAATGGTAACTATTTGCCTATTCTTTTTCCTGGTATAATTGCACTTCTATTTGATCAACACTTGTCCAATTTAACATTTTGGCTTAACTAGAGGATTACATTAAGTCCAGGCTAATTGGGACTTTGATTATTTTTTAATGTAATGAAAATTTTTTTAGATATAATGGTAAAAGAAAGAATTAATGAATAATACATTAGGAGTTTGATATCACTTGCGAGACGAACATAAGCTGAAATCTTTGGTCTGCTTGACCTGTTTATGAACAACAAGCTTGGTGAAATTGGGTTAAAATTTGGCACCTCCCTACGAGACATCAATCTCATGAGACGGAAGCAAGTAGGCGAGATTGCGATGATTCTCTAATGCCAACTAGATTACTATTTTAGGCTTCTGCTAAACACAATTAAATAATTTTTTCATCGCACATCCTCAAATGCAACAAAGTCAATTATGTAAAAGGCATCAACACTAAATATGATATTACCTGATAGAACGAAATCCCAGCCATTTCGCTGACTAAAAGTGGGTGCACACAGATCGTAAATAAAATGACAATATTTTCTCGAATTAAATACAAGAGAATTCAAACCACCCCATTACGATACATAGTTATGGAGACTTTCATTTGGTATTAAAGTGCATATTGAACAGATTCGTTGGTTGAGCTCACCAGAATACGACGGCCAATTTCCGTTGCCCTTCCGTCGTTTGGCTTTAATACGATGTTCACGCTGACGCAGTCCACTAGACATCTGCCTCTTTCGGATTTATTAGCTCGATTTTTACACGCCCAGGCTAACTTTTTATCATCTCAACGATAGTCACTTGTCAGTGTATGTTTTTACATGCCCACTGAAGCTTCTGAATTTTCTTGGTTTGTCCACTTGGATACGGCCGTAAAGATGGTCATACGACGGACTAAAGCACTTTTATAACAAACGAAAACGTCCTTAACAATGTTATCTTAAAGGACTCTTCGTATCTACACGATTTATGTAAAGCCCTGAGCTCGAAACTCCAAAATAGGCACTTGGTAGTCAACCTGTAGATAAAAGCTCGAGTCGAGCCCAAATTATCGAAAGGTGTGGAATGATAATGGATACTCGCCAAAAAGTCTGTTTTCAACAAACTCCAATAGGAATCACGTCGCCAGTATGGAAAACTTGGAATCGCAGTCAGAGCAAAATTCGAGCTCATATCCCAAATTATTTGGGCAACAGAAATAAGTAGAGGAAAAGCCCGGTTTGAGCTTAGAAGGCGAGTGAAGTCGGTTTTTTTCCTTTTACTCATCGCACACGAATGACATGGCTTTGCCCGGACAAAACTGGAGATTTACCTACGAATCACTTTTATACAAAATGAAAACTTCTACATCAATATAAATCTGTTAAGAGATAATTTCATTTTTGGTGCCCCTTCGAAACCAACTCTTGCCTTATATCTAATTTTGTTCACTACATTATTAGGTTATTGGCAGTCTCCTTTCGTAGAATAAATTTTGTTTAGCAACTTAGCCACGTTTCCATGGCGACCTCGACATCGTCTTTTGCCACTCATGTCAAGTGCTATTACAGCATGAGAATGTTGACTGGGTACAGACATTTCCAGACGTTTTTCCGATATCATAGTCTGCATCATCGTACGAAAGTACCGTCCTTAGTAGCGATTTACCACTTAGAGTGTAGTCAAATTGCGTGCAAATTGGTTGCGACAACCTCACTCCTCGCCATCCTGGTACCTGTCACCTCTCATAACCCTTTATCCTCATACATTATCTGCTTAACTTAAGTTTCCGTATGAAATGTAGGGTCCATAGACATAACAACTTTTGCTGTCTCCTCAAATAGCCCAGGCCTGCCTCATATTTAATATTATTTGTCAGTTCATGACATTTTGACAGCTAAACGAATCTTTACTTACAACTCGCTGGGTCATTTTTGGGGTCAAAAATCCCCGATTCAAGGTTGCCATGCTATCATTCATTTCGTCTAAAAAGTAGGTAGAAGGGATTGGTGGATTGGCAGCACCGGAAACACAAGCCTGATCGTCTCAATGTTGCAATGGCTGAGTTGAATACCGCCCAGTCGTACGGATCCAACTGTGCTCATCCTCCTTCTGTCCCACCATTTCAGACATCGTCAAGGGATGAGATCATTTTTTAGCACATCTTCGCTAGGCCTATAGACAAGATGGGCTCATAACCAGCCTCCGCCTTGAAGATAGTTGTCTGCTTTTGATGATGTCTGTCATGACGAGAGAGACAATAGACGAGCATTTATTCAATGAAATTGCGGAACGGTGCCTTGAAGATGATCACAACACTGAGTTACTTTCGCTTTAGTTTCCAGTGGAACTAACCAATAAATCTATTCCGCCCACAATTTAAGCTAATCACCAACAAAGTGAAGCTATAGAGGAATTATTCAGAGCCCCACTCTTTTTCTTATCTACACATTTCACGAGGTTTAGTTTATTTGATCTACTCGAGTATATGTTATTTGGGGATGATCTTATACGTATTTATCTTCATTTACTTTAGGCCATCTCGGCCAGCTTTCTTCCGGAGCTGTTCAACAACTTCGCCACCAACAAACATGACGTTTCCGACAAATACCAAGCCCTAAGTGGCCAAAAGTGAGTCATTGCTTAACGAATGTTCATATGGACGCGATGTTGGTGGGTAAACGCGCCAGCGCTCTTGCACTATGAAAACCCTCTTTGTCTTTTAACCTGCCAGATGCTACCTGAAATGCTACTTGTTTCAGCTCTAGTCGCCAAATCACCTGCGCTTCCTAAAGCCCTTCATCCGCATTCATCTGCAGAATCGAAACAACTCAATTCCAAGACGAGACGTCTGAAAAATAAGGCCAAGGAAAGAAGATGTATTGGAATAGGGAAAGAGCCACCCACTCAATACCCACTACGAACACTATCCTTTGAGATGCTAATCAGAATATGTATCAGAATACATAATAGAGCAAGACAAAACTAGAGCCTTACTGGATAGATTAAAGTCTTCAGAAAGATCGCATTGTTATGATGTCAGAAGAGTGAAAGTTGACTACAATGGTATGAGGGGATTTGAGGGTGGATCTCACCAGAACGTCTTCTCCGGAGCTTCCAAGTTATTCCTCTTCGTTTCCTTTCTCACACTTTTGCTTCACCTCTCACCTCATCAGCATCATCAGCCCTAAGCCTCTTTCTATCAGGAGTTTAAGCCAACGTTGAGTCAAGAAAACTATGGCAAAAATCAAGTAGAATTTATTTTACCTCGTTTTCGCGATCTAATCCTGTGGTCAGAATGTCCTTGATAAGTCTCCGTCCTTATAGTCATGACAATTTTTAACGTCGGACCTTGGACGTTCCGTCTGCTTCAGAGTCGGTATAGTTAGTCACCTTTGTCAATTTTAGCGCCAAACTACAACTAGTCGAATAGATGAATGGTCAACTTGTCACCTTGACAAATGGCAGTTTGGCCCTAAGACTGACGAAAATGATTAGCGATAGCAACTACGAGACAGAAGAAATGTCTGGGAATGAACCAAATCCATGTTCCGACGCCGGAAATCATAACGACAATCAGGGCAGAAGACTTCGAACAAGATGTACTTATCGAGGTCGCCCTGAGAACAGGACTCAGCCACAAGAGGAGACCGCAAACAAAAGAGACGTAACGCCTTTTTGGCTTAAAAGTTATCAACAGACCTAGACCAAAATATCAAATCACTTGCTCAAAACATTGCTCAAAGGGATAGGAAAGAAGATTATATCTGCCCTGTGACCATCAGGCATTCGGGGGTGTGCTTTACCACTTGACGCACACTACCAGGTTTTGAGTTCCGATATTGTGCTGTGGGACGGTGAGTGAGCTCAGAACTGTTATCCTCGGCAGGGATAAGGAAGTCATTCTGCTGGAATGGTGAAATAAAATTTAATATCATCGTAACATCTACTTATTCTTTTTGGGCGCTTTACTGTTAGGCTATACTTAATCTTTAGCCATCCAAAATTACTCAGTTCTTATTCAGGAAAATCCACACAATTATATATATATATATAATTCAAATTGTATTTTTTCGAGGTATATATAGATACAGATAATAAATAATATCTACTTATTTTAATGGAAGTAGTGTCAACTCGATTATTAATTCTTGAATAAGAATTCGATCATTCTGGGTCTCTGAAGCTGAGTTGACGAATTGGCCTCAGGATTCCATTGAATTTCACTTAGTATTGCCTTTATATTTGTAAAAACCAGGACTAACCAGAGTTTTTGGTCAAGATTCTATTTATATAGTAGTGCCAAAAAGATTTTTATAAGATTTTTTAAACCGGTTAACCCTGGACAGAAAATAGAGCAGGCCTATTAGGTGTTGCAAGTGTTGATAGTTCAGCCCCGAACAATGAGCCCATGATAGTATTTAAGCTAACTTGGCTATATGGCTGAACAAATGTTCGCTT